CCAGGATTGAGTCCCACATCGAGCTTCCTGCATGGAGTCTACTTCTGTGTGTGTGTGTGTGTGTGTGTGTGTGTGTGTGTGTGTGTTTCTCATGAATAAATAAATAAAATCTTTAAAAAACAAAAAAAAAAATGAAAATCAACTGTCTCTAAGTATGGGCGTGTCTCTGGACTCTATTCCATTTCATTCATCTCTGTTTATCCTTATGTAAATACCACACCATCTTGATTAGAGTTCTATAATAAATCTTTACGCTAGATAGTACAAATTCTCTGGTTTTGTTCTTCCTTTTCAAGACTGACTATTCTAGGTCTTTGGTACTTTCATATAATTTTAAAGTCAGCTTGTCAATTTCTATTTTTAAAAAGCCTTTGGGGGGATCCCTGGGTGGCTCAGCGGTTTAGCACCCGCCTTTGTCCCAGGGCGTGATCCTGGAGTCCCGAGATCGAGTCCCACATTGGGCTCCCGGCATGGAGCCTGCTTCTCCCTCCTCCTGTGTCTCTGCCTCTATGTCTATCATAAATAAATAAATAAAATAAATAAATAAGCAAATAAATAAATCTAAAAAAATTAAAAAATAAAAAATAAAAAGCCTTCGGGATTATGACTGTGATTGCATTAAATGTGAAATACTAATTTTAAGTGGAAAACAGAGGAGAAATTCTGAGGACACAGAAAGTAAGAAAGGGGAGATTATGAATACCAAATGAAACAAATACTCAAAAACTCCATTAAATTTAACAACAGGGAAGTCACCAGAGCTTTCACAATGGTAGCTTCATTGCCCTGGTTGCAGAAAAAAACAAACTATAACAAAACATCCAATTTCCTCTTCGTTCTTATTACTAAAACACCTGAATTGTAGCTGGGCGTATAGATAGCTGAATAAAGACTATATTAACTATTTTTCCCTCTAGTTAAGTGTGATCACTGATCAAAAACCAGTTAATGGGCTATATGTGGATATGTCACATGCAACTTCTTCGAAGTATCCTTAAAAGAGTACCTTTCCCCTTTCCTTCTTGCTATGTGCTGGAGGCAGTTGGAATTCAAGTAGCCATCTCAACCACGAGGTAGCATTCTACACTGGCAGAACAGCAACAAAGAAGAGCCCAAGTCCCTGGTGATCATGGAGCTGCTGCCACACCAGCCATGGCCTGCCTACCTATTAGGGCACCTGGGTAGCTCAGTCAGTTAAGCGCCTGCCTTCAGCTCAGGTCATGATCCCAGGGTCCTGTCCAAACCATGCACAATCCCTGCTCTCTGCCATCTAAATACATCCTCAATCCATCTACCTTTCTTCATCTGTACGGTTTCCCCTCTAGTTCAAATCACCATCATCTCTCATTTGGAATAATTCAATAGCATCCTCAGTGTGCTTTTTGTAACTTATGAAATCCTTCCCAGAGAGATGAAAAAGTTCTGGAAATAGTAGTGACAGTTACACAAGAACATAAATGCCACCAAACTATACACCTAAAAGTGGCTAAAATGGTAAATTCTATGTGAAAAAAAAAACCTTTTCTGTAAACTATAGCCTCCCATATATTTTTCCAAATATTATATAGATGTCCTTTGCACTGAAGTCCTTAATCCATCTGGAAATTTCTGTTGTGAATGGACAGTAACAGGACTCTAATTTAGTCTTCATTCTATATGGATACCATGTATTTCAACATTTAGTGAACATTTAGTGCGTCCCCCCGTTTTAGAATACTACTTAATGGTATACTAAGCTCCCATATTTATCTGGGTGTGTTTCTAGGCTTTCTATTCTATTCCATCTGACCACTTTTCAATCCCTGAACCAATACTATAGTAATTAATACTTAAGTAGTCTTAATTATTATGGCTTCACATTAAGTTTTGATATCTGGGAAGAAGGGACTTCATTTAATCTTTTTTATAAAATTGATTTAGCCATTCTTAGTCCTTTGGCTTTCCATATATTTTAGGTTCAGCATGTCAAGTTCCATGAAAAATTATGTACTATTTTAATTGGAATTCCGATGAATTTGTAGAATGGAGGAAAACTAACACCTTTATATATTGAGTCTTTCAACCCATGAATAAGGTGTATCTCTTCATTTACCTGGGTCTTCTGTTATATGTTTCAATAGAACACTGTAATTCCTTCCCTAGAGGACTATACAATTTTAGTTTGATCTATTTCTAGATACCTTTAGTTTTGAATACTATTACAAATACCTTTTTAAATTAAAATTCCTAGTTATTGCTGGTCCGGAGATGTTATTTTTTAATTCAGAAATCCTGGGCGCGTGAGTGGCTTAGTGGTTGAGGGTCTGCCTTTGGCTTGGGTTGTGATCCCAAGATCCTGGGATCCAGTCCCACATCCGGCTCCCTGCAGGGAGCCTGTTTCTCCCTCTGCCTGTGTCTCTGCCTCTCTGTGTCTCTCATGAATAAATAAAATAAAATTTAAAAAAAGAACAATGAACTCTTCCTTAAGGTCATTTTTTCACCATTGAGTAATACTTCCCTTTCCTATGATTTGTGCTCTTTCCCCTTACTTTACCAATTCATGTATATATATCCCTACACATATACACACACATTTTTGTAATGTTTCTGGGATGTTTATTCTATTACATTGTTCTGTCTCATATTACTATCACACTGTTTTGAATGCTGTAGTTTTATATTTTGATACAGTATGTCTAAACTTTTCTTAGCTATTTATGTTAGTTTACTTTTCCAGATAAATACTGCACCTATTTTGCATGTTCCTCCCCAGAGCCTACTAGTTATATAATTTGGGGGCTCTGAAGGCCATTCTGACACCCTTTAAACAAAGTAGCCTTTCTAATCACTCTTTATTACATCACCATCTACCTTCTTGTTAACTGATTTTGGGATCTTCCTCCCCCTACTGTAACTACTTGTTCATCACTATATTCCCAGTGTCTAGAACAGTGTCTGGCACATACCAGGTGCACAAAAATGTTTGCTGAATTAATGGATGGGGATTTTAAATCTGGAAAATTCAGAGAAACACAGGAAGGCAGGTTTTGAAGTCATGGTGAAAGAACTAGCTCAGTTTAAGGGGAAGTGCTTAGATTATTCACAGGTGATTAATGTGTAGGCCTCAGGACAGCACCTGGGCACAAGAGTGACAAGTCACTGAGAAGGTCAAGGAGGAGAGCGCATGAAAGAAAGAAAAAGAAGAAAGAGATACTTGGAAATAACAAGTGCTGACAAGGATGAGGGAAAAAAGAAACCCTTGAGCACTGTTGGTGGGAATGAAAGCTGGTGCAGCCACCGTGGAAACGAGTATAGAAGTTCCTCAAAAAAGTAAAGAATTACCACACAATCTAGTAATTCCTCTACTGGGTATTTACACAAAGTAAATGAACACATTAATTCAAAAAGATACAAGCACCCCATATGTTTATTGCAGCATTATTTACAATAGCCAAGATACAGAAGCAGCCCAAGTGTGTATCCATGGATGAATGGAAAAGCAAGCACGATCTACATATGCAATGGACTATCACTCAGCCTTAAATAGGAATGGAATCTTGCCATTTTAAATACAGACGGATCTAAAGATTGTAATGTTAAGTGAAATAAGTCAGTCAAAGATAAATACTCTAAGATTTCCCTCCTGTGTGGGGGTTTAAGAAACAAGAAAAAGGGCAGGCCGGGTGGCTCAGCGGTTTAGCGCCCGCCTTCAGCCCGGGGCGTGATCCTGGAGACCCTGGATCGAGTCCCACGTCGGGCTCCCTGCATGGAGCCTGCTTCTCCCTCTGCCTGTGTCTCTGCCTCTCTCTCTCTCTCTCTCTCTCTCTCTCTCTCTTGCTGTCTCATAAATAAATAAAATAAAAAAAGAGTACACTTACAGTGAGGAGCCATAGGTAATGCATGGAATTGCTGAATCTTTATATCACACACCTGAAACTAACGTTACATTCTATGTCAATCATACTTGAAAAATTTAAAAAATAAAAAAAAAATTCTAAAAAAATTTTTAAAAAAAACCACTTTGTATGAATCATACCTAGGGCGAGCGCAGAACCAATAATACGGAAACCAAAGAGGGGGCGGGGGGGGAAATGAGGGCTAGAAAACGGGAAATGAACGTAGGAGCTGGGTTCATAAATCGCAGAAGCACCAGAAGCGCTGATCTGCAGCGTTAGCTTAATTGGGTAAGTACAATTTAACCTAAGGAACCTAAGCAATAACCTCATACCTCCAGCAGCAAAAAAAAAAAAAAAAAACAAAAAAAAAAACCAGAGAGCCCTATTAGACTGCACATCAAAATCTGAGGAAAGGATTAATTTTGGAACCCTCTGGGGTCTTAACGTGACCGTTCGCGGCTTAAAAACCCATCAGCACCCGATCTCTGCATCCTTTCGGCGGGGAGCTGGACGCCGCGGTCGGGCAGGCTCCCTTCTGAATGAGACTGCTGCCTGCTCCTTATCACCTTTCCGCGACCGGGCAGTCGGGGCTCACCGCCCCGCAGGTGATTTCCGGGCCTCACACAGAAACCAGAGCTGGGCAGCGGCCGAGGAGGAGCCGGGCGGCCGGCGCTCCGAGAGGCCCTCCGCCCCGCGGCAGGTGGCGAGCCGCTCGGGTCAGCGGGGCCGCCCTCCTCGCTCCCGGCGGTGCCCGCCTCGCCCACGCCCTCGCCCTCGCCCTCGCCCTCGCCCTCGTCCTCGCCCGCCCCCGCGAGCCCGGACTCCGCTTCCTACCTGCGGGCACGCGGCCTCGGCCAGCCCTCGGCGGCTCACCGCCGCGCCAGTCCTCCGCCGCCGCTCCAGCCTGAGCCCTCCGGCCGGCTACCGACGGCACGTGACCCCGCCCCCGGCGCGCCCCGCCCCCTCGGCCCGACTGGCGCCCCGCCTCCCGCCGGCGCGCCCCACCCACAAGCGCGTCGCTGGCCGATGACGTAGCCGGCGCAGGGACTCCTGACGGGGCCGACGTGCTGCAGCTTCGGTGGGGAGAGAGAGGTGTGTGGTGTCGGCTCTCCCCGCGAGCAGGGAAGTGGGGTGCGGGGGAAGCCGAGGGCTCCGGAGGAAAGGGGGCAGGGGAGGAGGAGACCCGGGAGCCTGCCCTGCGGGTGCTGGGGTACACGGCGGCATCCCGCACCGTCTCGGGGCCCTTCCTGCAGAGGCCGCGGGCCGTCCCGCAGTCCTTCGTGCATCTCCTTACTGGAGGCCCGGGCTCGCGCCCGGCGTGGAAGGTCAAGGGAAAGGGGTAAGCTGCGTCCGCTGCGAGGGAGATTTTCCATCCAGGGCATACCACTGGGGAGCCTGGTTTACGAGGCAAAAAACACAAGAGCTGCAGACCTGGATATTCTCTCCTCTCTCTCTCTCTCTCTCTCTCTCTCTCTCTTTTTTTTTAATTTCTTGCCCCGAAGCGATGGCTTGGTCTCTTCGCTCTATCGTATCAGTGAGATGAAAATGTTCGGCCTCGCCGTACCTTTCACGGCTGCCATTACGTGACTTCTGCCTCCCGGAATCTTATCTTTTATCATTATCCTGGGTGGGAATGGAAATCTCGTGACTCCTGTTCTAAAGCTGGAGTAGAGACATAGGCTGCTTGCTTTTATTATCTTTAGTATTATTATTTTTTTAATGGGTGGCCTTTGGAGGGAAGATTTCTGCATTAACATTCCGGTAGTCTCATTTTCATTTTAAAAATCAGAATATCTATGTTTTCCTCATGTTAGCCCGACGTTTTTCACAGACTTAGACGTTTAATCTGACATTTAACAACTTTGCCTCCTTTCAGAGGCAAATCTCCAAAGTATAAGGGTGTTTTTTTTTAATTTATTGTCACCTTACCTCTTTTATTAGCAGTTTAAAGGTCAGCTGCACCTTCTAGACTGGGGAAAAGATGGTCAACGTCTTGAAAGGAGTGCTGATAGAATGGTTAGTAGTTTTTGATACTTAATGCAATTTTAAATCTCCATATTGAATCTTGATGTATGTGTACCTCATCTAAAATCCATATTTTTGTTTCAAGACCTAAATAAATCCAGTCTTTTAGCTTTCTTAACTTTATTTTTCTTATGTAGTAAGTGGGAGAGATTTTGTTGCTACCTTTCTTCCTGGTACCAGATTTCAAGGTCTCAGTCCAGTTAATGTAATTGACGCATTTCCAACCCCTGTTGGTCCGGAGCAGTGTATTTTTTTTAGATCAGCGCTCTTTAGGGGAGCAGCCCTGGTATTGTCCTCCAATCAGTGACTCAAAATTTAGTCTGCCTATGTCTTCATCATCACAAACTAGTCTTGAAAGAGTAAGCAAATCAAGAGCTAAGGGAAGGTTTACACTAGGCACACATTTAATGGAAGCTAGAAACCTTAATGGGCAGTATTGAATTTCTCAAAGCAAGCTACGTAGGGCTTTGTGTTAGACAGTCTGAAAACCTGAACGATTGGACCAGTCCTTGCGCAGTCTCTACTTGTTGATAGCAGGGCTGCGGGAGGAGCAAAACCAAACTGTAGGATACTTCTGGCATTTAGAGCAGCATTGTCCTGTGGGGCACCTGGGTGGCTCAGTGGTTGAGTGTCTGCCTTCAGCTCACATCGTGGTCCCTGGGTCCTGAGATCGAGTCCCACATCAGGTTCCCCACGGGGAGCCTACTTCTCTCCCTCTGCCTCTCTGTGTCTCTCATGAATAAATAAATAAAGTCTTTTTTAAAAAAAATAGAACAGGGACAACTGGGTGGCTCTGTGGTTGAGTGTCTGCCTTCGGCTCAGGGCATGATCCCAGGATCCTGGATCAAGTCCCACATCAGGCTCCTGCAGGGAGCCTGCTTCTCCCTCTGCCTATGTCTGTCTCTCATGAATAAATAAAATCTTTAAAGAAAAAAAATAGAGTAGCACTGTCCTATAGAAATATAATGTAAGCCACATATGTAGGCTTAAGTCTTCTAGTAGCCTCATTAAGAGTTAATTGAAGCACCTGATATTAATGTTTTATTTAACCCAGTGTTTCCAAGATATTTCAACACGTTCTAAATCTTCAGAGTTTGTACTAAGATTTCAAAATTCTGCTAAGTCCTTTTTCATACCACAGCTTCAAAATCCAGTGTGGAGTTCACTTTTACAGCCCATCCCACAGACCGGCCACATTTCAAGTGCCCAGTAGTGAGCAGTGCAGATTTAATGTTTGGCTAGAGACACAACAAAGACAAGAAAAGAGCCAGTGATATAGGAGGGAAGCTAAGAGGGAAGGTTTCGTGAAGGTAAGTGGGCCATGTCCAGTGATGATGAGAAGTGGAATAGGATGAAAAACTGGAAGTCAACGATTTCTTCCTTCCTTCCTTTGAAGAGCTGTTCAGCTATGAGAGCTGTTTTAGTGGAGAGGTAGGATAGACAGATTGGAGTATTTTGGAAAGGGAAAAGAAAGTGAGGAAGTGGAGACTCTGGAGAAGTTTTGTTGTAATAATTGAGCAATGGAGTGGAGAAATTGGTTGATAACTGAGGAAAGATGTAATAAGGGTCTCTGATTCTTGTTATTTTGGTTTTAGTGTGAGAGACTAGAATATATGTTGGTAAGACTATAAACTGCTTAGAAGAAAACATTTGGGAAAGTGAGGGGACAGGATCTGGATCCCATTAAGTTCTAAACACATGTGCTGTTTTCTTTTGAAAAACTTGTAGGCTAATTTTTTATTTTATTTTTCCTAAAACTGTTGTAACTAATAGAAACGTTTTCCTCACTGGTCTTTGAATGCTTTTTTGGTTTTGTTTTGTTTTTAAGATTTTATTTATTTATGAGAGACAGAAAGGCAGAGTCACAGGCAGAGGGAGAAGCAGGCTGCATGCAGGTAGCCCGATACAGGACTCGATTCTGGGACCCTGGAATCACACCCTGGGCCGAAGACAGGCACTAAACCGCTGAGCCACCCAGGCGTCCCCGTTTTGTTTTGTTTTGTTTTGATTTTTAAACACAAAGGATACATAATGTCAGCTATCAGTTTTCCCCCTTTTGTTTCTTCTGACTCTTTGATCTTCACCTCTGGATTTAATAAATCTCGTAAGATTTTTGTATTTTTTTGTTGACGTTACATTTCATTTATCTAGACTCTATTGGGAGGAGGGGCATATACGGTAAAGATCTGAATTCGCTTTTGTTTATTGGTTGAACAATTGTTTCACACCATTTATTCCCTTCTCTAATGATAGATGATACCTCTTTTATCATTGCTTCACTCTCCTACTTTGCTTAATCCTGTCCCATAAGCATTCTTTGTCATTGTTGCCTATTCAAGAATAAACTTAGAATAATTTAGTCTGTCTGAATCCTTTTGGCATGATGATTGGGATTGTGTTAAGTCTATAATTTGAAAAATTATCGTGGGTGGACTGCATTTTAAAGAGCGGAACTGTAGGAGACTCATTAAAATCTCAGCGGTAGGCTTTCAGTGTAGCCTTGAGGACAGAGTACAGATTTGTAAGAGGAGTTTAGGTGTTAGTTTCCTGATTTGCTGAGCTGCCTGCCTGGTTTGCTATCATGTAATCAAACCTCTGAATTCTACCTGGGTTCTGACGGCCCACTATCACTTTGCTTTTCTATGTAATCCCCCAGACTAGCAGCACCAGTATCATCTGGAACTTGTTAGAAATGTAAATTTTCAGACTTCACCCTAAATCTCCTAATTAGAATTGTGTATGCGAAGGAACTTATTAAGAAACATTTTAAGTTTGAGAAGCACTTAATTGGCTTAAGTGTGATCATCAGTTTTCCTCTGGAGAATTGTTTTGCACTAGAACCACTAAAATTTTATTTTGCAGATGGACACTATCCTTGTGAAACTTTAATTTTTTCCCTCAAGGTGAATTCTAAAGTGTAGCCTGCACAATTTTTCAAAAGGATGTCTTCCCAAAGATTAAATCTTCCAAAAAGAGTTGAGCCCTAAGAAATAACAGATTCATGAAGGACATGGTCAGGGCTGTTAGGTACTTCACAATCAGATATACATGTTGGGGTGGTAATTGGAAAAGTCCTTCAGCTTCCTTCATGTCTGTATTTGATGCCAAAGAGAAGATTCCTTAGTAATATAGTATCTGTTTATTCATAGTCCCCATAGATTATGTGGAGCCTTTAGGTGTACTGGAGTATGAATTTGACAGGTCTGGAGTTTATAGGCAAAACACTCAATCTCCTAAAACTACTTCCATTATTCCAGTGATTCTTTCCAAATTCCAGCCTTTTTACCATCGAAGGTCATCTATAATAGCATAGATAGTGCTGTTCCACTTACTCTCTTCAGGCAGCCAGCAAAATACTGCTCAGGTGTGTATGGCCTCATTCAAGGTGGGAATCTTAATTTGACACCTGCCTTAGAATGCCTTCACTTATTGCCATATTTAAATTCCGTGTCTGTCCGTTCCTTTTAACTGGTTAGGAGTCTATAAGAAAGAAGCAAATCATGTTAATGGCCATTAAGGCCCAACTATCGGTGAATTGGAAAAAAGGTACTGGGATAGGAGGGGATGCTTTCCTCAAAGGCTTATTTTATCAAATACCAAAATCTAAAGCTAAATTGAAGTTCTTTTGTTTATAAATTTGTGTTTTTATATCAAAATGAGATGGTGAAAACTTCCTCTTTGTTGGGATCCACCACTATCAACTGCCAGCCTCACACTAAGCCTTTTCCCGAATTTAGCCAAGCGCAGCAATATCAAAGCAAGTAGCATTTCCCAACAAATCGCAGGTGCTAGAGCAGACCCCAGGTGTGACAGTTATTACACCTGGTTTGAAAGCAAGTGCTTCCATAAGGAAGATTTGTTGCAGAGGTGCAAATTCCAACTAGTTTACATCATAATAGCAAAGAATCTGGAGAAATAGGTGGTATTAGACCAGTTTACCCTTTTAGGCTTGGCATCTAAACCGGTATTGTATATGAGAAGCAAATAACTAAGGCGAAACCAGTCTTAACCATTATTCTGTTCTTTCACAGCATTTATATTATCTCTTGTGAGCCTCTGCTTCTCAAAAGGGCCATATTCACTGAAGTTTCCTGGCCACTCAGAACAGTGCCTAAAATATATACCGGAGATATTTAGTAAATATTTGTTTACTAGATGAATTTTGTCAACAAAATTGAGTCAAGGAATGTAATCTCAGTCTAAATCCTATGTTACTAATGTTCCTTTCAGAGCTTCTCTTGTTACCACAGTGATAATAGTGGATATAAGAGTAGATTCTGGTAACTTGGATTCAAGTTTCAGTATGAAAACGGTTTGTCCACCAAACTTCCTTTTTGGCTAGTTACATCAAAATAGCTTTTAAATGAAGTGACTATTGGCTTCCAGTCTTAGTTGTTGTTGTTTTTAAGATTTTATTTATTTATTTGGCACAGCACAAGCACGGAGAGTGGCAGGGAGAGGGAGAAGCAGACTCCCTGCTGAGCAAGGAGCCCAATAATGGCCTTGACTCCAGGACCCTGGGATCATAGCCTGAGCCACCCAGGTGCCCAGTCTTAGTTTTTAAAGAGCGGGTTCTCACCGAGCTATCGATATGAATAATAGAAGTAGTGTCTTCAGCTGATCTAGAAAGCAATTTGTAATAGGTTTTTTGAGCTTTTATATGGTTTAACACAATAATTCCATTTCTAGAAGTTTATCCTAAAGAAATGACCCTAAGGAAATATCAGAACTGTGGATAAAAATGTAGGAGATTGAGGAGCATCTGGGTGGCTCAGTTGGTTAATCATCTGATTCTTGATATCAGCTCAGGTTGTCATCTCAGGGTTGAAAGATCTAGCCCCGCTCTGTTGGGGTTCCCTGCTCAGCATGGAGTCTGCTTGAGATTCTCTGATTCTCTCTCTGTCCCTCCCTGCTGCATGTGCTAGCATGCATGTACACTCTCTCAAATCTTAAATAAATGTTGGTAATTGAATGTGCTAATAAAGTATAGA